ACATTAAAATTAGATGGAAGAGATCAATAGCAGAGACCAGACTGGGTGAAATACGTTTAGGAAGAGCAAGTCTTCCTGTGGTCCCAGAGAGTCAATTCCAGCTTTGTGTGGGTGACTATGGCAGGTGATGTTAGTGAGATGGGCAGCCTGCCTTTGGGTTCATAGCTGCAGAAAGTGCTGCCCACGGAGTGAAGGCAGGCAGTGAAATGGCGCAAACCCAGCAAGGGCTTTCTAAAGCTGGAGTTGATCTCAGCTCTAGGTTTAGGAGTTTTCTATGGAGATTCAGAGAAAGGCAGGTAGGTACACATGCCCTTTGTGGTCTAGAGAAACCCCTGCCCCAGAATGCTGTCTCCTGGGACGTGAGTGCACAGGACTGCTGAAGGAGCTCCAGCACAGCAGCCTCCTGTGTGCGATGCCTGGGTGGCTGGCGGCCGCCTCCATCTCTGCTTACCAGCAATGCTGGATGTTGGGGGCTTGGAGATGGGGTGTGGGGACAGAAGGCAGGGGTAAGGATATCTTTTGGATCCTGGCTGGAGGAGGAGTGTAGGAGTAGGAAGATGACTTTATAATTGCTTTTTTTTATCACTCTTTCTGACTATATTGACTTTATACTTGACACAGCTTTGGCTGGCAAGTGAGGCCCAGATACATTCAGAATTAGATATGACTAGGCTCATTCTTACATGAGAAGAAAATCATCGGTTGCTACAGAAACAGCTCCATATCAGTCTCGTGGGGCATCTTTGCATCTGGCTTTTTTTCCTTCTCTTTTGCTAATCTGTAGATAAGAGTCACAGCAAGTGCAGCACATCCCACATCTATAAAAAAGGTTGGAGGAAGTCTGCAGAGAGCAAAGTGTGAAAGAACATCTCGTAGATAAGCTAAACTTAAATGAATGAGTTAATTTACACCCCCTACTTTTTTTTTTTTTTTTTTCCCCTAGTTTTGCAACTCTCACTGAGTTAATTGAGGTGAAAATTAAATGACACCAGTCAGCAAATATTTTAAAGACTGTCAACATCCAGGAAGAGAAAGGAGGTACCCAGAAAGGGATTTACTAAGAAAAATTTAGGAAATAATCTGCAGGGTGAGTTAGAATCTGTGTGGAGAAGATTGCATATTGCAATGGAATAATGTTCAGGAACTTTCAGGCAAATTGCTTAACTTGGTAAATTAAGGAATTAGTTAAAAATAAGTGTATATTATGGGTGAACAGGGACTCTTCTGCACACTTCAGACCAGCTCGCCAGCGAGGTTTTTCAACTGGTTTTCTGAAATGTAATGAATTCTTGGTGCTTAGTAGATTAATATTTATTGAGTGAATCAATGCTTAATTTATTAAAAAATTGCCTTCCTTGTATTTTAATATGATTTATTACTCATCAGTGCTTATTGCATTAATTAAAGATTGTGTTAATTTTGCGGAAGTGAACACAATCTGCTGCAGGTTTGCTGCAGAGCCCTAATGCACCGTAGGGACTGTGCCTCTGGGTAGTACCAGTGATAGAAAACTGCTCGAGGTGGGAAGCCAGCATGAATCACCAAAGGCCTCTTCCTGCCTTTAGGCTCTCAAATAGCCAGCCAAGTGAAAATGAGGATGCTGCCCCTTAAGGGTAGGACAGGATTATAGCAATAAAGATCCTGTGGCGATACAGGGAATCTTTCAGTTTGCCTCTTATAAATTATGGCTGATGCTGTAGAAATCATTTTAGTGTTTCTCATGGAATGCTTTTTTGTCAACGTAGGTGAAATCCAGCCTTAGCGATATGGGAAACACTCACCTCTCGCCCGAACAGGGATGATAGTCATTACATTTCCGTGCTTAGGTTGTAAGTAATTCTTGGGACAGTAGGTTGCCTGAAGATTGGGATAGTCCCAAGCATCTCTGCAGGGGCAGGTGTTTTGAGAAGTGGAAAATTACTAAACGGAGAACAAAAAAAGCCAGACATCTTGTGAGATGAATCTCTCAAGAAATCTGTCAAAACAGGGAGAGGGTGATCACGCTGGAGGGGGGCAACAGCTGCAATTTGCATCTTTCGGCACTGAAGGGAGAAGCAAATATATAAAGCCCCACAGTCATGAAACTTCTGATGCAATTATTTTATTAATCTTTGTGACACTTGTAATGCCTCTCTCTTTAAATTCAAATTCTGCTGCTTTTATAGCTACTCATAAGTGTGTCTGTACGTTTTTAAAAAAATTCCATCTAGTTACTAGACTGCTTGCATCCAGCTGAGCCCTGGAAACGTCAGAGAGCTAGCCCCTGAGATCCAAGAGCAGGCTTGAATTTCCAGAAAGCGATTGGACCCGTAATTAGCGCATTTTTGCGTGTTTAAACGCATCATTCTGGAATGCACATTGCTGTTTCCTCCTCTCCAGGGCTTGAGTGAGTGTGCACAAACTTCCCCTTGCCGAGTTAAATTAGAGAAACCTCTTCAAGGTCTGCTGAAGGTCAGAGCAGAGAAATTTTTTCTCTCAGTGCAGCGGGCAGACGGTAACCACTGTGCTCCAGCCCAGAGCGCTTGGGTGGAGCCAGCGCCAAGAACCCGGTGGCATTTCAAATCCCCTGCAGCAGTTAGGTGTTAGATGCAAAAGATCAGTGCTGCTCCACTTGAAGTCAGAGAAATAACTTGAGTTTAAAGTTCAACACATACCCAAAGATTCCTTGGATCTGGAGTCAATTTGTTTTTTCCAAGGCCAGCTTGAAAGCAATGTCCAGGCAGGAAAAAGTTATAAAATGAACATTTGACTTGTAATTTAATTTTATGTCTCATTTTGTTTAGTCTATTCTATATGCTTTTGTTTTCCTGTAGTATCAAGTTTAGCTATTTAGGTTGTTATTTAATGTTTATTTTTGCCCTAGTTAATAGACAACTCAGGATCAGGGGCCAGCTGGGCTACATGACTTTCTCTCTATTCCAAATCTCTACATTTTGCAACCTTCTTTGATGCAGGATATTTATATTCCACCTTTTTTCCCAGTAGAGAGGCTTTCACAGAGTATAGGCTTTGGATATATATTTTCTGCTCTGGCTGTTCATTAGATATACAGCATTTGGAATTCCAGTTGTGCTCAGAAATGTAAGCAAAGCTTTTGGCCCAGTGGGTGCTAAGCCCTGGCATTTCATAGCTTTGTACATATGAATCAGGATTAAGGCACAGGATCTATATAAAATTTAGCTCATTAGGAGATGTTTCGTCTTACAGCTCCCACTGGGGAGGCGGGTCATGTGCTTACACTATTGCCTACTTTGCTTTACTGCTCCCTGGAAAAGGAGTGTGGGGTGAGCAGACCCCAGCAGAGTAGGGAGAGCATTTCTGAATGGTTCTTGTGGAGATGACACAAGGCAGCAGCAGGGTCTTCTGCTCCCTTTTACCATTCTCCTGGCACACCTGGAAAAAGTGCTTGGCATAGTCTGGCCTTAGTGTTTTCTAATAAAGTAAATGTGATCAAGCACACTGCTAAGGTCACACTCCGAATGACTTGTCAGAGTAAAGAGAGGAAGGAGTACCTATGAAAACAGACAGGAATGAATTTTCTCACAACTATGATTTGTGTTGTACAAGAGCTAAGGTACTGAGGGCCAGAAAAGTTTCAGAAATTTATTTTTTTTTCAGGTTCACACCCCACTCAGCTTCCCAGCAGGCCACATTCACTGTTGGGTGTGTAGCTCAAGCATATTCAGTTGATGATCAACTGTGCCAGTGACACTTTACGTAGAGAAATGATGGGTTTGGAAAGGAGTTTCATCAGTCATAGTTTCCAAGGATGAGCATTCACAGTAAGGAATACCAAGTCCATGTTTCCTCCTCAAGGACTTTGAGCTGTCACCCAGGGAATACAGTGAATGCAGTGATGAGAATTAGATTAGAAAAAGATCAATAGGGCTGACAATAAATGGAAGTAACATAGACATTATTGGGCAAATTAGGAGAGAGAAATTAAACTGGACAGTATAATCTTCAATGCCAGCTAGACACACTAATGTTGGGCAAAGTTAGGGAGCAGACAGCGAGTTAGAAAGTGCTATGAAGAAGAGGGAGTAACAGTCTGTCTGTGAGATGGGGAAAGCCCTGCTGGTGATGGAAAGCTCTCAGCCCACAGAAAGGTGGAAAAGGATGATAATGGTCCAGGAGAACATGGATTTCAGTGACAGGCTACAGAGAGGCAGTGGTGGGGAAGTCACCCAAGACTGGGAACATGGAGTAAGCAACAGCCTTAGCTACATGTTACAGAAGAAAGGGAAGCCCAGATGCACCCCACAGCCACCAAGCCATTGGTGGGATAACTTGTTCCAGGAAAAAAATTTTCTTAACCTCGTGGCACAGGTTGGTTTGCCCTGTGAAGGTTTGATGCCCTTCCAGAAACCACTCACCTTTTTAAACTTGATTATTTGCTATAAAAACTCCTTATAATTTGCTATCTGTACAAATATCCAGTGATGATCAAGTCTGGCAAGCTTTTGGGGAGAGGGATATCTGGTGGCAATGAGATCCATGGGCTGACTGCACTCAGCATGAAAAGAAGCTTTCCTTTTATCAGTCTTGAGTTTGTCTAGATCCTCTTACATGTCTTTGAAAGGTTCACCCCAAGGCAATATAATTGTGTTTGATCACATAGAGGCTATGAGTCAGTGATTGATATGAATAAAGAACTTATAGTTTCTTGTCTTGGTTCCTTGTCTTCCCTGTGGAATCAGAAATCACTTTTATAAATATATCGGTCCATCTGTGCTTCTAGCTATCCATTTCAAGTATATGTTCCAAAAAAGAAATAGTAACACTTTATAAGTGCAAATAAAAACACATTAAAAGGACTGAGCAAGGGGGGGTTTTCTTCCTTATAAAATACATGTGGATCCCATCCAAAAGAGTTACGGTGAGCCATGTAACTTGTAATTAATTCTGCTATAAATGTCAGAACACTTACTTTGCAGGTCTAAACTGACCCACTAAAATTAGTCCCCTTTTAACAATTCCTTTTATAATTTGTTTTTCAGCAGAAACGGCAGCTTGACCTCCTGACAATAACCAGCCCTGGTAAGTGAGCTCTGCTGCATGGTTCTCTTCTCTTCTCTTCTCTTCTCTTCTCTTCTCTTTTCTTAAAGAGATGGTTGTCTAAATGTGTTTTTCCCCTGTCTCTGACATGCAAAATGAAAAACACTGTTCCCCAGAAAATCTTTCACGTAATAACAAGTGACAGCTATATTGTGCTTGGCAAAGCCCCGGGCAGTTATCCGTTCACAGAGCTGCCTCTTCAGACCTTTACTCTATGAATTTGAGTGCTGATATTTCTTTAAGCCTCCTGGGGTTACAGTTACTGGTATATCTGCAGGGCAGATGCCCTCGAATTCACAATGTGTGTTCAAGTATCACAGAATTGCAAGTTTGACTTTCCTTGGTGGCAAACGTGGAGACAGTGGCCCTCTGTGCGTGTGGTGGGAGACAGGAGGTCCAGGCTTAGGACTGGAGAACCCTGAAGCGAGTAAGAAAATGTTTAGGTAAAATTAAAATGCTTTAAGCAATCTGCTTCATAATGGCTTTTGTCATTTACCTATTGAGGAGGTAAACCAACATGTGTTGGGAAGGTGTTGGGCTTTTTGGCATACTGAGTTTTGAAGGTCTTGGTACAGTGATAGAAATGCTCATCGTTTTAATAGTGCTTCTCCTTGGTCTCAGCTCTTAAAGCTGGGTGACTTTTAATTTATTACTATTTTTCTGGCTCAGTTTCCTTCCATTAGCTGCTACAGAAGTCTGCTGCCCACCAGCTTCAGATGTACACCGTGCTTGAATAGTGCTATCTTTTAGTTAACTTTCTGAAATTTTCAAATGCATGAACATATTAAGCTTTCTGTTTGGCTTTAACTGGGACTAATGAGTTCTGACTTTAACTGGGAATAATGTGTTAGTGAAATGAACAGGTGTTATGGGAAGTGAACAAAATGTGACACACATTTGCCTGGATAACAATTTTGCATTAATAATTGTTCTGACATTCTAAATGTAGATATCATCTGTGACATGGTTTCTCCTTCACTAACCTTGTTAAAATAATAAGAATTAAAATAAGGAGGAGGATCACTTTGTTGGGACAGATGTTTGAGGCTATTGGCAATTGCATCACATTTTTGCATGTTCACTTTTCATGCAGTTTGCAATTATGTTAATGTATGCTCAGGGCACTTGCTGATAAAAGCAACAATACAGTGTGATACAGCCATTGTCACTATTCTGACTGTAACTTCAAGGACAAACATGGCACATTTTTCATTTTTTGTATCTTCAGCATTCCCTATTTCTAGAGGAAAAAAAAAAAAGATTTCTGAAGGTCTTAACTGTAATAAACACTCAGATCTTGGATAAGGGCACCAAGTCCACAGATACTTTTTTAATAAGAAAAAAAGAAGGTTGGGGACCAAAATAACATAATATGAGAGTTTTCTGTAAAATGAATTTATGATACCTTCCACATAATTTCAGATACAGTATTCACTGGAACAGTGAAAAGGTTGTCTAAATTGAGTTTGTGCAAAGACGTGATCACAGTAAAGAGCTATTGCTTCAGATCTCTCAGTTTAATACAGCAATCTACTAAATCAACACAGCAATTAGCTGGAAGGATCAAAATAGCTTTCAATAACTGCAGAGGTAGACATACTGCCCTAAA